ATTAAAATATGTATGATTTTTTTCCCCTAAAGGCCACTTGTATTTTTATTTTCTGTGCGACAGGGAGAGCAGTAGAGATCCTCTCACAAACGGACGGGCTAAAAGAAACTTCAAGCGGAGAACCTTCAACCATTCATCCAGATGCACCCCATGGTAGTGGCAGTGCCCCTTCTGGTAAGTGTACCAGGTGGGGGATTACAGCCAGGCTGCTTGGTCCTAACCCTGGGAGTGTATATTGCTAATATATTTTTATTTCTCTCCCTAGAACGTGTAAGAAAGCCATGGTCTGCATCTGAGGTGAAGGCTGTGGAGAAGACCATGACACCTTTCATACAGACTGGAAAGGTCCCTGGGAAGTCTCACTGCCTGGCCTGGCCTGGCCTGCATTAATGCCTCACCAGATGACCTTAGACATCGGACATGGAGTGGCATTAAATTCTATGTCAAAAATAGAATCACTGCCATTCGAAAACAAAATCTAAAATAAAATTCCTTTAAAATAGTTGTTTGGTTTCTATTGACTGTTTTGTATTACTTAAAGTAGTCCCAGTAAAAAAAGATTATGTCTATGGGTCCCATTCTGAACGGCCCTGTCAAAGGGACCCACCAGGTAACAAAAACGTGTATGTGTGTGTGTGTGTGTGTGTGTGTGTGTATGACGCCGTCAGAGCGGTGCACTATAAATGAGACGTACATTCAAAAACACTTGCCTTGAGTTTTAAATGAGGCAAAATTACGAATAATACAAACTGTAACGTGTTTAGATGCCTGAGAAAACAGTTGGTTTGTGTGTGTGTGTGTGTGTGAGAGAGAGAGAGAGAGAGAGAGATTGTGTGTGTGTGTGTGTGAGAGAGAGAGATTGTGTGTGTGTGTGAGAGAGAGAGATTGTGTGTGTGTGTGTATGAGAGAGAGAAAGATTAGATTGTGTGTGCGCGTGTGAGAGAGAGATTGTGTGTGTGTGTGTGAGAGATTTTGTGTGTGAGAGATTGTGTGGTGTGTGTATGTGTGTGCATGTGCTTGTGTGTGAGAGAGAGATTGTGTGTGTGTTTGTATGTGTGTGTGTGTGTGAGAGAGAGAGAGATTGTGTGTGTGTGTGTGAGAGAGAGAGATTGTGTGTGTATGCGTGTGTGTGAAAGAGAGATTGTGTGTGTTCTATTGGAAATGGACTCGATCATTTGTCTGTCATTATATCATGGACCTCCAGGGTTAGGGTTGGAAACTACACTGCAAATGTCACAGGTTAAAAAGTGTCTGTTGAGGGTGTGATCAATAAAACAGGAAGAGGATAAAAAGGGGATAAAATTTAATAAAATATTTACAAAAGGTCCATTAAAATCATGATAAAACCCGTAGTCCGCGGGGCACCGGTGTCCTCCCTGCATGGCCTTGGTTCCCTCCAGGCCCTTCTCCGTCCCGGGACCGGGCTGCAGTCCCGCCAGCCCCTTGCAGACCACGGGTCGCCACCGGGCACCCGCGGGGAAGAGCCGGCACATCCCGGTTTTCGGTGGGCCTAGCCCGGGCGCGCACGCGCCTCCACGCGCTATCAATGCGCGCCCCCTCACCGGTGCCACTCTCCCCGCTGGCCTCAGTCTCCCGTGGTCTGTGGCTAGCGGTCCTCGTCCTTGGCCCGGTCCCGTGGCCTCTTCCTCTCTCGTGCTCCCTCGTGCTCTGTCCTCCCGCCTGTAGTGCCCGCCCCCAATTTAAGATAGTCTTGATTAGAAGCAGGTGTGGGTGATTAGGGGAAGTGTCCAAGGAACTGTGATTAAAATCCATGCAATAAAAATATTAAAACACACAAAACACATAAATAAAAGCAGTTAAAAGTCCTTGTTAAAAGTTCACTTTCCCACACAAAAATGATAAAAAACTCGTCAAAAATGTCTCATTAAACCAGATTCTCCAAAGATACAAAACAAAATTATCTTGTTTTAAAATGAAACAGAAGTGTCCCTTGGAAGGAGAAAACAAAGCAACAGTTCTTGAAATCAGACTAAAAGTTTTTGTGCCGTTGGAGAAACTTGAACAAAGTCAGAATGTGTCAGATTAAGATATTTCTACTATTTTATCACTTTTTGCAGTGTAGTATTTTAGCTATAACCTGTACATGACTGATTCTCTTTATATATAAATACATCAATAACTATATTCAGTTCAATGACATTTATATTGCATAGAAGTGACTCAGAGAAGTCGTCATGGCGATGGGATTCTATAAAAAGACCACAGTTAAACAAAGGTGAGATCAAATCAGAAGAGAAGGAGAAATGCACTGATTCTTTATGTGTGTGATTATTTTGTTCATCCTTCTGAGTTATTGTCAAGGTGAGGATTTTATTTTGGTATTTTGGTTTTTATTTTGAAATACGTTCTCTGTGGTGTGGTTCAAGTTGTACTTCCTGTCTCGTTCCCCTGTGTTGATGGTCTGCCCCGCCCTGATGTGTTTCAACTGTGTCTGTATGTACCTGTGTCTATATGTACCTGTGTCTATATGTACCTGTGTCTATATGTACCTGTGTCTGTCTGTGTCTATATGTACCTGTGTCTCTGTATGTACCTGTGTCTCTCTGTGTCTATATGTACCTGTGTCTATATGTACCTGTGTCACTGTGTCTATATGTACTTGTGTCTCTCTTTGTCTATATGTACCTGTGTCTCTGTATGTACCTGTGTCTCTCTGTGTCTATATGTACCTGTGTCTATATGTACCTGTGTTTCTGTGTCTATATGTACTTGTGTCTCTCTGCGTCTATATGTACCTGTGTCTCTCTGTTTCTATATGTACCTGTGTCTCTGTGTCTATATGTACCTGTGTCTATATGTACCTGTGTCTCTGTGTCTATATGTACTTGTGTCTCTCTTTGTCTATATGTACCTGTGTCTCTCTGTGTCTATATGTACCTGTGTCTGTGTCTATATGTACCTGTGTCTCTGTGTCTATATGTACCTGTGTCTCTGTGTCTATATGTACCTGTGTCTGTCTGTGTCTATATGTACCTGTGTCTCTGTGTCTATATGTACCTGTGTCTCTGTGTGTCTATATGTACCTGTGTCTCTCTGTGTCTATATGTACCTGTGTCTCTCTGTGTCTATATGTACCTGTGTCTCTCTGTGTCTATATGTACCTGTGTGTCTCTCTGTGTCTATATGTACCTGTGTCTCTGTGTCTATATGTACCTGTGTCTGTCTGTGTCTATATGTACCTCTGTCTCTGTGTCTATATGTACCTGTGTCTCTCTGTGTCTATATGTACCTGTGTCTCTCTGTGTCTATATGTACCTGTGTCTGTCTGTGTCTATATGTACCTGTGTCTCTGTGTGTCTATATGTACCTGTGTCTCTGTGTGTCTATATGTACCTGTGTCTCTGTGTCTATATGTACGTATGTCTATATGTACCTGTGTCTCTCTGTGTCTATATGTACCTGTGTCTGTCTGTGTCTATATGTACCTGTGTCTCTGTGTCTATATGTACCTGTGTCTCTGTGTCTATATGTACCTATGTCTATATGTACCTGTGTCTGTCTGTGTCTATATGTACCTGTGTCTCTGTGTCTATATGTACTTGTGTCTCTCTGTGTCTATATGTACCTGTGTCTCTGTGTCTATATGTACCTGTGTCTCTCTGTGTCTATATGTACCTGTGTCTCTGTGTGTCTATATGTACCTGTGTCTGTGTCTATATGTACCTGTGTCTATATGTACCTGTGTCTCTGTGTTTCTATATGTACCTGTGCTTCTCTGTGTCTATATGTACCTGTGTCTATGTGTACCTGTGTCTATATGTACCTGTGTCTATGTGTACCTGTGTCTCTCTGTGTCTATGTGTACCTGTGTCTATATGTACCTGTGTCTCTCTGTGTCTATATGTACCTGTGTCTATATGTACCTGTGTCTGTCTGTGTCTATATGTACCTGTGTCTCTGTGTGTCTATATGTACCTGTGTCTCTGTGTGTCTATATGTACCTGTGTCTCTGTGTCTATATGTACCTATGTCTATATGTACCTGTGTCTCTCTGTGTCTATATGTACCTGTGTCTGTCTGTGTCTATATGTACCTGTGTCTCTGTGTCTATATGTACCTGTGTCTCTCTGTGTCTATATGTACCTGTGTCTCTGTGTCTATATGTACCTGTGTCTCTCTGTGTCTATATGTACCTGTGTCTCTCTGTGTCTATATGTACCTGTGTCTCTGTGTCTATATGTACCTGTGTCTCTCTGTGTCTATATGTACCTGTGTCTCTCTGTGTCTATATGTACCTGTCTCTGTGTCTATATGTACCTGTGTCTATATGTACCTGTGTCTCTCTGTGTCTATGTGTACCTGTGTCTATATGTACCTGTGTCTCTCTGTGTCTATATGTACCTGTGTCTATATGTACCTGTGTCTCTCTGTGTCTATATGTACCTGTGTCTCTCTGTGTCTATGTGTACCTGTGTCTATATGTACCTGTGTCTCTCTGTGTCTATATGTACCTGTGTCTATATGTACCTGTGTCTCTCTGTGTCTATATCTACCTGTGTCTATATGTACCTGTGTCTCTCTGTGTCTATATGTACCTGTGTCTATATGTACCTGTGTCTCTGTGTCTATATGTACCTGTGTCTCTGTGTCTATATGTACCTGTGTCTCTGTGTCTATATGTACCTGTGTCTCTCTGTGTCTGTACCTGTGTCTCTCTGTGTCTATATGTACCTGTGTCTATATGTACCTGTGTCTCTCTGTGTGTGTACCTGTGTCTCTCTGTGTCTATATGTACCTGTGTCTCTGTGTTTCTATATGTACCTGTGTGTATCTGTGTCTCTCCGTACCTGTGCTCCTCTGCCCTTGTTGCTGGTCCATTCCTGGTTATGTTTTTGAAGTTCTGTTTTTTACCTTGGACTTTTTTTTAACTGAATCATTATTTTGGGCATTCTTGTCTTTGAGTCCTACATGTGCCAAACGATTAAATGTGCTCTGATTCGTTCTCATAATTCTATTTCCACAACATTTGGGACGAACACATGTCTCTGTGTCTCAGGGCGGATGACCCCTGCAGCAGCCAATCAGCTCACTCCAAAAGTACCAGGAAGCTCACATGGTTCTTTCTTATGACTTATTATGTCACAGCGTTTTGCTTTTTCAAGACATTTGTGGAGGAGACTAAAGCGCTAAAGCCTGTGCGTCCTGTGATCCTTCTTTTAATCTGAACTTTTTCCCCATTTTGACACAGCGTGAGTTCTGTGGTCCTCCATCCATCCATCTTCTTCCCCTTAATCCATTTCTGGGTGGAGGGTGGCCGTCAGGGATGCCACACAATCCACAGAGCAGCAGAGTTAAGTGTCTTGCCCATGGGCCTTGCTCTGCGGCCGCTGCGTGGCCTCGGTCCTCGTTCTACAGTCTCAGTCCTCGTTCTACAGTCTCAGTCCTGGGTCTACAGCCTCAGTCCTGGGTCTACAGCCACAGTCCTCGTTCTACAGTCTGAGTCCTGAATCTACAGCCACAGTCCTGGGTCTACAGCCTCAGTCCTGGGTCTACAGTCTGATTCGTGGATCTACAGCCTCAGTCCTCGTTCTACAGTCTGAGTCCTGGGTCTACAGTCTCAGTCCTGGGTCTACAGCCTCAGTCCAAGATCTACAGCCACAGTCCTGGGTCTACAGTCTCAGTCCTGGGTCTACAGCCACAGTCCTCGTTCTACAGTCTGAGTCCTGGGTCTACAGTCTCAGTCCTGGGTCTACAGCCTCAGTCCAAGATCTACAGCCTCAGTCCTGGGTCTACAGCCTCAGTCCTGGGTCTACAGCCTCAGTCCTGGGTCTACAGCCTCAGTACAGGATATACAGTCTGAGTCCTGGGTCTACAGCCTCAGTCCTGGGTCTACAGCCTCAGTCCTGGATCTACAGCCTCAGTCCTGGATCTACAGCCTCAGTCCTGGGTCTACAGTCTGAGTCCTGGGTCTACAGTCTGAGTCCTGGGTCTACAGCCTCAGTCCTGGGTCTACAGCCACAGTCCTCGTTCTACAACATGTTTGGACCATCAACATTCATGGGCATTGGTCTCTCCATGGTCCAATACCATGTGGTCTATATTTTTTGGTTGATTCTCTGATCTGTGTTGGTGATTTCAACGGTTTTGTTAAGTCTCTGAGATGATGCTGTTGTGATTTAGGGCTGGGCTCGAACCCACGACCTTCAGGCTCAAAGGCCAATGCTCTGCCAACTGAGCCACTGTCGTCTCCTAACAGAAATCAATCTGGAGAAACTCAGAGAAACGTTTAATATTTGATCATGGAAAAAAAAAACGTTCACATAAATTTACACATTAGACTCAAATGAGAGAATGTTCGTGAAATGTTTTTAGACCTCGGCAGATCATGAGACAAAATCCCTCGGGGCCTCGACTCCAGTGACGGGAGCTAAGAGAAGGAGAAGAGCTGGCCCGGTTAACGAGGCAGCGATGGGGAGGAGGAGGGCTGTTGCACGATATGATATGAAAAAGCTCAATACCGGGTACAGCCACCAGGGGGCTGAGCTTGTGCAAACTCACGACCAAATGACTAATGCTTTTCAAGGTTACTATAGCATTAGTCTTGTGATTTGGGTTGCCAGATTGGTTCTTAACCTCTCCCAGAACAGATAAAGAAAGTCATTGTACCTTTTCTGCTCATGTTTTTTGTCCCAGCCACAAACAAACTATTGTATACCTCATTTCAGTCTACAGTATATAATTCCAATAACAATAAACCTCCAGTCTCTTTGAGTCTCTACGTCTTTCTGTCTGAATTAACGACCAGAATCCAGACAATTATATATTTACAGAGCTCACAAAAGCTTTAAAACTCAGTTGGAAAATCAGAGAAACTTAATCCAATCTGAAAGATCCAAATCAAACCCACAGACTCCAGGGACGTGACGTAAAGTCCAGAAAGTGAAATGTGAGGCTGTGAAGGATCCAAATGGACTTCAACTAGAGCTTTTCTCCGTCAACTGTTCCCTTATCAGTCCCAGACCTGGAGTTGTTTTTAGATCCATTCATGCTCATTTCAGGACTTTAAGCACACACTTGTAATTCCACTCTATCTGTTATAAAAAGCTCCGGTCTCGTGCTGCTTTCAAGGACATCTCGGAAAATCTGAATGATCGCCGCTCAACTCCGAAATTTGCGTCAAATTGTGATTGGAAGAAAGAAAAATCATAATTTGTGAACATATGTAACAAAAGCTTTGCAGAAATATTAAGATTGTATTTGTATAAAGCATCTCTTTCTCATGTCTGAAGAGGGAAGACGTCTGTGCTTTTTGCATCTAAATGGTTAAAAACAAATGTGACGGACGGATTTAAGGTTGTCCAAGAAAGTCCAATTCATCTAAGAAAAGTTTATGATATTTTGTACCTCTGTGTCCTCCCACGAAAGTTAGATAATGCACCTTTAAAAGTTACAGAGAAAACGTGTTTGTCCAGTAGAGGGCGCTCTACTTAAACAGAGTCGTTCACACTGTAAAATAAACAGCTGCAGATGTTTTGTACGTAACAAGTGGACAAAGTGTTACGTACAAAACATCTGCCGTTTTTGAATCACATGTTTTTGCACAATGTATAATCTATAATTACAGATTAAGTGAGTAGATAATCTTCATTCACAAAGTGCCTTTCACAGACTGGAGTCACGAAGCACTTTGCAATTGTTGTTTTTAAGGCATTTTGTCCCTCACACGGAAATGAGATGGTAGGGGGCACCGTAGCACACGGAGGAAACCTGCGCAGACACGGGGAGAACATGCAAACTCCACTCAGAAAGGGCCTGTTCCGACCGGGATTCGAACCCAGAACCTTCTTGCTGAGACTTAGCCAAGATAATGTTGATCATGTGAAAGAAGAAAGGCCGAACCAGGGACAGGAGTTGAAAATTAGCATTAAAATTTGTGTTGTTCTATGTTGACTTGCAATGTCCCTGTCCAGTAAATGAATAAATAAAAACAAAATAACAATAATACAAAAAAACATAGTAGTATAATTTAGTTTGGAGTGAGGCAGTTTCAGTGCCTGCTGCTTTTTCCGTCCCGTGGGTTTGATCCAGAGCCGTCTTCAGCGTCTCTTTTCCCTCTTGGTTCTGCCGTGATCTGATGCGCAGTGACGTGCGGCGGCCTGCAGGGGTCAGACTCACAGGTCAGATCTGAGGAGGTCACAGTTTACAGAAACACTAATGAGCCCTCAGAGGAAACTCAGGCTCGCGACACAGAAAAGCATCGAGAGTCCGTCGGGATCAAACGCCAAAGTCTGTGGTAATAATAATAATAATACATTTTATTTAAAAGCGCCTTTCAAAACTCCCAAGGACACTGTACAGGCGTAATAAAAACATTAAAAACAGGAGCAACAGAATGAAACAGATGTGCATTATGGGTGTGTGAGGTGGGGTAGGACCATGGGGTAGGACCATGGGGTAGGACAGTCTGAACAGATGGTTTTGAGTCTGGATTTGAAGAGTGGAAGAGAGTCAATGGTCCGGAGGTCAGGGGGGAGAGAGTTCCAGAGCTGGGGGGCAGAGTGGCTGAAGGCTCTGTGTCCCACGGTGATGAGTCTGGCCTGGGGGGCGGAAATAAGACAGAAATGATGCAGAGAAAGTACATTCAAAACTGTGTCATTTCAGTTTTTTATTAATTTTATTGTACTATTTTGTTTGACAGAGACATTGTGCGGTGAGTTCTTTTTCCATCTGCAGTCCCAGGACAGTCCCAGGACAGTCCCTAGACAGTCCCGGGACAGTCCCAGGACAGTCCCTAGACAGTCCCTAGACAGTCCCTAGACAGTCCCAGGACAGTCCCTACACAGTCCCTAGACAGTCCCTAGACAGTCCCGGGACAGTCCCTAGACAGTCCCGGGACAGTCCCTAGACAGTCCCGGGACAGTCCCTACACAGTCCCTAGACAGTCCCAGGACAGTCCCTAGACAGTCCCAGGACAGTCCCGGGACAGTTGTATATCGTCTCCTAAAGGTAATAACAGTAAAAGTCAAACAATAATCCAGAAAAACACAAAGAGCAAGAAAACATTCATCACACGATTAAACACAGTTCACACACGAAAGAGATTTATTTATTTATTTATTTTCAAGGGGGTCCTTAAGATTTCACGAGGTGACAGAATCAGATACAGCAAAAACAGGTGTTAACAAAACAGAAATACAAGAAAATCATAACAAGTGTCGGGCGGCACCGTGGCTGAGTGGTTAGCAGTGGAGTTTGCATATTCTCCCTGTGTCTGCATAGGTTTCCTCCAGGTGCTCCGGTTTCCCCCACCACTAAAAATATGTAAAATAGGTCTAGCATGTGCCTCCTGTACTGGCCCCGCTCCCATCTCTGTGTGGAGTGAGAGACAAGTGCCCAAAAATAACAATTGTAAACCGCTTTGTGACTCTGGTCTGTGAAAGGCAGTATATAAATAAAGATTACTTACTTTAAAAAAGCAACTATAGAGAACACACACACACACACACACACTCACACACACACACACACACACACGCCATGACTGAACTTTAATTACAATAAATAAGGATAATGCTAATAATATTAATAGTGATAATAATAATTGTATAATATTTCTGTCTATACATTATCCGTTGCCTTTAAACTCTTTCTTTCTGTTCCGTGTTTGAAACTCTTCTGAACACCTCAATTTGCGTATTCCCTGTGATCGTTTGTTAATCTGCTTTTAATTGATACATTTTAATTTTCCCATTGTTTATTTCTTTTGTAACGATGACTCTTGGTTTAAAACACACACACACTAATACACGGCGTTGCTAGTTTGATAAATTCAAACAGTGACTGAGATTTCTTTCAGTCCTAAATCACTTCCATTTTGTCGTCGCAGGTTTGTCATTTCACGGTTATTATTATGATTGAGTTTCTTTCCGACTCTTGACTGAAGGCCGGGTCTGTCTCAAACACAATGAGCTTTTGTCCACGAAGCAGAGAAGTCTCCAGTGAAGTGGTTTTTCAGCGAGAACCTGAAATGTGGCTAAATACATAGAGCCGCCTAAGGTTTTCATTTCTGGGTCGTTTCTATGGATCTTTTTAGAGACTATTGGTTCAATGTCAAAGGGAAGACAAAGGCTCAGTTTGTAGAACATTGGCCTTTGAGCCTGAAGGTCGTGGGTACATGTGCGTCTGGTCTTACCATGTGTAAACTCTGGTCCATGGTCATTTCCTACATGTACGTCTGGTCTTACCATGTGTAAACTCTGGTCCATGATCATTTCCTACATGTACGTCTGGTCTTACCATGTGTAAACTCTGGTCCATGATCATCTCCTACATGTACGTCTGGTCTTACCATGTGTAAACTCTGGTCCATGATCATTTCCTACATGTACGTCTGGTCTTACCATGTGTAAACTCTGGTCCATGATCATTTCCTACATGTACGTCTGGTCTTACCATGTGTAAACTCTGGTCCATGATCATCTTCTACATGTACGTCTGGTCTTACCATGTGTAAACTCTGGTCCATGATCATTTCCTACATGTGCGTCTGGTCTTACCATGTGTAAACTCTGGTCCATGATCATTTCCTACATGTGCGTCTGGTCTTACCATGTGTAAACTCTGGTCCATGATCATCTCCTACATGTACGTCTGGTCTTACCATGTGTACACTCTGGTCCATGATCATTTCCTACATGTGCGTCTGGTCTTACCATGTGTAAACTCTGGTCCATGATCATCTCCTACATGTACGTCTGGTCTTACCATGTGTACACTCTGGTCCATGATCATTTCCTACATGTGCGTCTGGTCTTACCATGTGTAAACTCTGGTCCATGATCATCTCCTACATGTTTGTCTGGTCTTACCATGTGTAAACTCTGGTCCATGGTCATTTCCTACATGTACGTCTGGTCTTACCATGTGTGAACTCTGGTCCATGATCATCTCCTACATGTGCGTCTGGTCTTACCATGTGTGAACTCTGGTCCATGATCATCTCCTACATGTACGTCTGGTCTTACCATGTGTAAACTCTGGTCCATGTTCATCTCCTACATGTACGTCTGGTCTTACCATGTGTAAACTCTGGTCCATGATCATCTCCTACATGTACGTCTGGTCTTACCATGTGTAAACTCTGGTCCATGATCATTTCCTACATGTGCGTCTGGTCTTACCTGGTCTTACCTAGGTGTCAGACACAGTAACTTAATAAAAGTTCAGACAGACAGAAATAGTTCTAGCGGTAGGGTTGTTAAATGTGGTTTAATGAACGTCAGATCAATCTCGTCTAAATCGCTTCTCATAAACGAACTTATTATAGACAAGGGCTTGGATCTGTTTGCGCTCTCGGAGACTTGGCTCCAACAGGACGACTACGTTAGATTGAATGAGTGCACTCCTCCGACGCATGTTAACTACCAGAAAGCCAGAGCTACAGGTCGCGGCGGTGGTGTTGCGATTATATCACACACCAACTTGGTTCTTAGTCCCAAAACCAACAATGCTTTTCACTCGTTTGAAAACTTAACACTTTCAATCACCTGTCCTGGGTGGAGAAAACAAAAAGCAGTACTATTTATAGTTTTATACCGACCTCCTGGTCCTTACAGCGAGTTCCTAACAGAATTCTCTGACTTCATTTCAAACCTAGTTTTGGAATGGGAAAACATAGTTATAGCTGGAGACTTCAATATACATGTGGACGACAGCACTGACAGCTTAAACAAAGCTTTCAGCGCCGTACTAGATGGTGTTGGTTTTACTCAGAATGTCGAGGAACCTACTCACATTCATAACCACACCTTGGACCTTGTCCTGACCTACGGCTGTGATGTCTCCAATGTTGACATCCAGCGTCAAAGCTCGTTGCTGTCTGACCATTTCTTGATCACGTTTGATCTCGCTTTGGAGGACTTTCCTGTCCCGCAAAATAAAACCATAATGAAAAGAACCTTAAATGATAAATCTATCACAAGGTTCAAAGAACTAATACAGCCTATGTTGAATACTGCTGCAGGTGAACCTGTTCACAGCAGCTGCAGTCCCTCAGTCATTGACCAAACGGTGGGCAACACTATGGAGTCTTTAAAATCTGCATTAAATGCAGCAGCTCCTTTAAAACAGAAAACCATTAGGATTAGATCATCGTCGCCCTGGTACAGTGTTCAACTCCACACTTTAAAACAGGACGTCAGAAAATTGGAGAGGCTATATCGCCACTCCCACTCGGAGCCTGTCCACAGGGAGTGGAAAGCAGGTCTCCGAAACTACAAGAAGGCCCTTCGCGGGGCTCGAACTCAATACTATTCAACTTTAATAGAAGCGAATAAAAACAACAGTAGATTTTTGTTTGGTACCGTCGCTAAACTCACAAACTGCCATAGCGCAATCGAGCCTAAAATTCCAAGCTCACTGAGCAGTGTCGACTTTCTCCACTTCTTTAATAATAAAATTACATCCATCCGTGACAAGCTGGAGGAGGTTGCTCCTGCTGTTGGTAGTGGACAGGTTGAAGCGGCATACATGACTTCCCACTTAGACTCTTCAGTGTGCCTCGATAAATTCATGGCTGTGAGCCAAGCAGAGGTGATCTCTGTGGTCACATCCTCAAAAGCCTCAACTTGCATGTTAGACGCAGTCCCGACATGGCTCTTCAAAGACATACTTCCTTTGATAATTGAGCCTATCGTAAATATAATAAACGCATCCATACAATGTGGCTATGTCCCACAAGCTTTTAAAACCGCGGTAATCAAACCCCTTCTGAAGAAAACAAACCTGGACCCAGAAATACTTACAAACTACAGACCGATCTCAAACCTCACTTTTATATCTAAAATCCTGGAAAAACTTATAGCTGAGCAGCTTCGCTGCCACCTGCAGGAAAATGATATGTTTGAAGTCTTTCAATCAGGATTCAGAGCTCATCATAGCACTGAAACGGCACTAGTCAAAGTCACAAATGACTTACTACTAGCTGCCGATAATGGACAAGTGTCAGTGCTGGTCCTACTGGACCTTAGTGCTGCATTTGACACAATAGACCACAGCATTCTACTGCAGAGGCTAGAATGTGATATAGGTCTTAGAGGAACAGCCCTTGGCTGGTTTAAATCCTATTTATCAGATCGATATCACTTCGTCAATGTGAATCAGGACTCGTCGCCTTATTCTGGAGTGGAATTCGGTGTGCCGCAGGGTTCGGTACTCGGACCGATTCTTTTTACTCTCTACATGCTGCCACTGGGAAACATTATTAAAAAGCATGGAATTAATTTCCACTGCTATGCAGATGACACACAGCTTTATCTGTCGATGAAGCCTAATCAGACAGATCAGCTAGAAAAGCTCAGTGCCTGCATAAAGGACCTTAAAATGTGGATGACTCTTAACTTCCTACTTCTCAACCCGGAGAAGACAGAAGTGATCCTACTCGGTCCGAAGCGCCTGCGTGACTCCCTCACTAACCAGATGGTTACTCTCGATAATGTCAGTATAATACCCAGTAACACTGTGAGGAATCTTGGAGTCATTTTTGACCAAGAACTCTCCTTCAAGGCTTATATAAGCCAAGCAACTAAAACGGCGTACTTCCACTTACGGAACATCGCTAAAATTAGGAATTTCCTTCCTAAAAGTGACGCGGAAAAACTCATTCACGCGTTTGTCACCTCAAGGCTCGACTACTGTAACGCTTTACTGGCAGCGTGCCCTAAAGCCTCTTTGAAGAGCTTCCAGCTCGTTCAGAATACAGCAGCTAGGATCTTAACAGGTACCAAAAGGAGGGAGCACATAACTCCGGTGTTAAAATCACTCCACTGGCTCCCTGTGGAGTACAGAATAAAGTTTAAAATCCTACTCTTAACATATAAAGCCATAAATGGCTTGGCTCCTTCTTATCTCCAAGACACGTTAGTGTCGTATCAACCAGGTCGAGCGTTGCGCTCACAAAACGCCAGACGTCTGGTGGTCCCTAAGGTCTCAAAGGTCACTGTTGGTGGCAGAGCATTTAGCTCCAAGCTCCTTTACTGTGGAATCAGCTTCCCATTTATGTTAAGGAAGCAGATACGGTCTCCACATTCAAGGCCAGGCTTAAAGCACTTTACTTTAATTTAGCATATAATTAGGTAATATATAATATGTAGTGTATATATTATATATATATGCTGTATTATGTTATATATTATGTTATATATTATTCAATAATGTATTGTGTTATGTTGTATATTATGTTATATATTATGCTGTATGTTATTCTTTATTCAAGGCTAGGTTTAAAACAGTCCTCTTTAGTTTAGCATATGGCTAGGAAGGTAAGACTCGGAGAAGGTTAAACTCCTCAGAGTGTTAGTCAAGCTGCATAGGGAGTCAGTTTGCTGGGAGAAGTATGGTAACTTGAGCACTATCCTCTCCTCCTTCCTACTTTATCTGTTTAGCATTTTTAGGATTCTGACTGTAGTTTGTTCATTGCTATTCACCCGTTGTCCCATTGTCTGTTTCATGGTACGATGACGGGATCTCTGAGCCTGGCCTCTTCCATCTACACCTGCGGACTGCCCCGCCCGACCCGCCTGGGAGTGCTTCAGTCCTGCACCGGACCTGTCCACGTTCAGCGTCCACTGGTCCACGTTCTGTAGCTAGCTTAGGTCCTAGATCATTAGTCTGTCCGTCCGGAGGAGCGGATCCCTTTCTCATATGGGTCTCCCTCCCTGTGGGTTTCCCTAGTTCTCCCCAAGGTTTCTCACTTTTTCCCACTGGGTTTTTTAAGAGTTTTTCCTTGTCGATGCAGGAGGGTCTTGTTGGACAGTTAGTGTCCAACAGAAAGGATTGGTGATGATCAGGACACTTTAGCATTCTACAACATGTATGGACATTTTCTTCTGTGTGTGCTTTATATTCTTCATGTGTTTTAACTGTTGATTCTCTGACCTGTGTTGGTGATTTCAATGGTTTTGTTAAGTCCTCTGAGATGACTTCTGTTGTGACCTAGGGCTATACAAGAATAAATTGTATTGTGTATTGTGTATTGTATGTGTAAACTCTGGTCCATGATCATTTCCTACATGTGCGTCTGGTCTTACCATGTGTAAACTCTGGTCCATGATCATCTCCTACATGTACGTCTGGTCTTACCATGTGTACACTCTGGTCCATGATCATTTCCTACATGTGCGTCTGGTCTTACCATGTGTAAACTCTGGTCCATGATCATTTCCTACATGTGCGTCTGGTCTTACCATGTGTAAACTCTGGTCCATGATCATCTCCTACATGTTTGTCTGGTCTTACCATGTGTAAACTCTGGTCCATGGTCATCTCCTACTGTACATGTACGTCTGGGTCTTACCATGTGTAAACTCTGGTCCATGATCATTTCCTACATGTACGTCTGGTCTTACCATGTGTAAACTCTGGTCCATGATCATTTCCTACATGTACGTCCGGGTCTGATCCTAGTGGCTGCAGTTTCCTCGGTTGAATCCCCTCCGACCAATCAGAGAGCGGGGGAGGCGGGTGTTGTAGGTCGGTGTCGGTGACGTCAAGAGTTTGTTTACAGACCTTACAGACCTTATAGATCTGCTTCTGCCGTTACACAGATGTAATTCGCACCGAGGTTTGTATAGTTCAGAGAAAATCTGGCTAAATCTGACATAATCCACCGTAATCCTGACTGTCATATCTCTCTGTCAATCGAAATGAGACAACATGAGCCGGTGTTTGGACATGCTCAGAGAGAGAGAGACGCAGAGGTCAGAGCAGGAAGGAAAGAAGGAACAGATGTGTATGAAAGGGTCTGTGTTAAAGCAGCAATATGTAAGAGTCATCATAATGGGGCCCTATTCTGTCATCATTAAAGGGCCCTAATCTGTCATCATTAAAGGGCCCTAATCTGTCATCATTAAAGGGCCCTAATCTGTCATCATTAAAGGGCCCTAATCTGTCATCATTAAGGGGCCCTAATCTGTCATCATTAAAGGGCCCTAATCTGTCATCATTAAAGGGCCCTAATCTGTCATCATTAAAGGGCCCTAATCTGTCATCATTAAAGGGCTCTCATCTGTCATCATTAAAGGGCCCTAATCTGTCATCATTAAAGGGCTCTCATCTGTCACCCACATAAACTACTTTAAATCGAAATACAGGACGTTGAGTTGAGACGTCATGTGAGCTCAGACCTTTGAGGCACTTATTACTACATCCATAAAACACACAACACACAACACACCACACAACACGCCACACATAACACACTCTACACACAACACACACACACGCACACACACACACCACACACACACATACACACACACACACACGCACACACACTCACACTGTAAGAAAGCGATAAATCCGGTCCTCCAGGGTCAATGCTCTTCTCTTCTCATTGATGTTTACTTGAGTGAAACCAGCCTCTAGTGCTGCGCGACAATCTGTTTAGAAGCTTCTGTGAATGATGTTATACGCACAACCCAACTCCTCCATCTCCTCCTGCTCTGTACAGATTAAGTAATGTTTATTTATATAGCGCCTTTCTCAGACCAGAGTCAAAGCGGTTTACAATTGTGGGCAATAGTCTGTCACTCCACACAGAGGTGGGAGGGGCCAGTACAGGAGGCACAGACCTATTGTACATGTTTTAGTGGTAGGGTAAACCGGAGCACCCGGAGGGAACCTACGCAGACACGGGGAGAACATGCAAACTCCACTTAGAAATGCCCACAAAAAAATGTCAGGGTTCCAGAAACTTACAGTTGCAAACAAAACAAACACCAATGATTTCACACACAAACATTTTCAACCTTCTGCCCTCCTCAGCTTCAGTCTTTTTTGTTGTTGGGTGGATTTGAAATGTTTAATTCTGACATAAAATGATAGAATAGGATCCAAAGCTGCTGCCACTTTTTCCCACTGGGTTTTTTAAGAGTTTTTCCTTGTCGATGCAGGAGGGTCTTGTTGGACAGTTAGTGTCCAACAGAAAGGATTGGTGATGATCAGGACACTTTAGCATTCTACAACATGTATGGACATTTTCTTCTGTGTGTGCTTTATATTCTTCATGTGTTTTAACTGTTGATTCTCTGACCTGTGTTGGTGATTTCAATGGTTTTGTTAAGTCCTCTGAGATGACTTCTGTTGTGACCTAGGGCTATACAAGAATAAATTGTATTGTATTGTATTGTATTGCAAATCGTAAGAAAAGGTCTTTAGGGAGAGATTTTGCCCAAAGTCTCACCTCTCGTTTTCCACTGTAGAGTTATGTCGGTCCTCTACTACTGTCTTTCTGACTTCTTCTGTCTCATTTCATATTTGATTTTATATTCACGGTTCCAAAGTAAAACAAAAACAATTTCCCACATGGTCAGCCTCAAAGCCAAATGTATTTATTGGTTTGGTTTGTGAAAGTGCCTCAGGTGGAAGTCCTCAGGTATACTTATATTGGCTGTGAATAAATAGAGAAACAGAGCATTTTGGGGCTGAATAAACACATTTTCTGAACTGTTTTATTTGGATAATGTCAAAGTTGATGGAGCCTGGAAGTCTGTGTGGTCTAAGGCAGTGTTCCCCAAGCTTTTTGAGCCGTGGCAGACCTTTGTCATTGCTTACCACAGGCTTACCACACTTCTAAAAATATCTTTAAGACTTAGAAGGTTCTTTAAATAGGACAAAAAAGTAAAGGCAACAATAGTAGGAACAAAAGAACATAAATACAAAAGATGGAGAGAGGTGGGGCGCACGGACCATGACCCGAGACGAGGGGGCCTTCTCCTTGTCTCACACTTGGGACTCACTTCTCTAGAGATGGCAGGGGGCGTTGTCAGTATGGGGGGCGTGGTCAGTCTGAGGGGGAGTGGTCAGTCAGAGGCGGCGTGGTCAGTCTGAGGGTGCATGGTCAGTCTGGGGGGGCGTGGTCAGTCTGGGGGGGGCGTGGTCAGTCTGAGGGTGCATGGTCAGTCTGGGGGGGCGTGGTCATTCAGAGGGGGCGTGGTCAGTATGAGGGGGCGTGGTCAGTCTGAGGGGGTGTGGTCAGTCCGAGGGGAGTGGTCAGTCAGAGGGGGCGTGGTCAGTCTGAGGGTGCATGGTCAGTCTGAGGGGGCGTGGTCATTCAGAGGGGGCGTGGTCAGTCTAAGGGGGCGTTGTCAGTCTGAGGGGGCGTGGTCAGTCTGACAGATCTGTGAGAGAGTTTTGGGTGACCTTGGTCTGTAACAATGCGCTTTATGAATAAATAATAAATTACTTACTTATTAAAAGAACCGTCTAAGCCTTAAACAAAAGACAAAATGAACTATTTACATTTAATACCTTATCTTCTGTTCACATTATTTGACCAATGAGAGGAGGCGCACTCACTCTGGTCTCAGGCAGTTAGAGGAAACTCTCTCTTACATATGTGTGTATTGTGAAGCATTAGCAAGACTCGTAAAGGTTTGTAAATATGTCGTGTGTCGGGTCTTTAGAAGAAATAATATATAAAAAGAATGTTATATTTTCCCAAAAAGTCAATTCAAAATGTTGTAATATCATTTAAGTTCTGTATAAATGGTCACGTTATAGACTGCTGTTGATAAAGTCTGAATATTTGAAGCATGTTACACAAATGACTGTATACAGATGGACAATGCTAACCCGCTAGCTCAGTGAAGCCCAATCAGGAAGTGCTCATGGACGAAGTTTTGCTCCCAACTCTCCCGTCGTCATATTGTCATGTCCTGTAGATCCGCTCATGTTTAAAGCTTCAGTTGATTGTAAAGATTAGACCGTTCTGAAGGGAAAGGTCATGTTCTGAAACGCCGATGCTATGGACACGGCTGCAGCACTCAATCCACAGCGTTAGCATTGATCCTCCACGGTCACTGTCAATGAGCAACCTTTCCACGTATGGTTATGTACATGTGAAGGCAGGGTTATTTGTATGGCACAGTTCGTACACAGCGTTTGTACAAAGTAGTGAACTTTTAATATGTCGCTGTTTTTATGTGTTAGATAATGTTATGTTGTGGTAATGTTTGATATAGAGGACAGAGGGCTACGGGAGAGAAAGCAGAGAGAGACCAGAGAGAGACCGGAGAGAGACCGGAGAGAGACCAGAGAGAGACCAGAGAGAGACCAGAGAGAGACCGGAGAGAGACCGGAGAGAGACCAGAGAGAGACCAGAGAGAGAGACCAGAGAGAGGCCAGAGAGAGAGACCAGAGAGAGACCAGAGAGAGACCAGAGAGAGACCAGAGAGAGACCAGAGAGAGACCAGAGAGAGAGACCGGAGAGAGAGACCAGAGAGAGACCAGAGAGAGAGACCAGAGAGAGACCAGAGAGAGAGACCGGAGAGAGAGACCAGAGAGAGACCAGAGAGAGACCAGAGAGAGACCAGAGAAAGAAACCAGAGAGAGACCAGAGAGAGAGACCAGAGAGAGACCAGAGAGAGAAACCAGAGAGAGACCAGAGAAAGGCTAAAGAGAGACCAGAGAGAGACCAGAGAGAGACCAGAGAAAGACCAGAGAAAGGCTAGAGAAAGACCAGAGAGAGACCAGAGAAAGGCTAGAGAGAGACCAGAGAGAGACACAGGCCACCAAGGCGGTAAACCAATCATTTGGATCAGTATAACTCATCAGACGCTATTTTGCCATAACACAAATAACCGTCTGGGTGCATTTCATGAATGAATTGAAAAACCGACTCAATAAGGTGAAGGGTTGGGGGTTCAACTTGTGGAGCTAATTATTTTTTTGTGATTTCTGATCTCAGAGCTCTCGACCTCTCGATCCCACTTCCTGTTTCTCCATAATGTGAAATGACTGTATTGGAGGTCGCTGATGCTGTTGGTCCTCACAAAGGCTTTGGATGTTTGTGGATTAGATTTGCATTTCCACAAAGTAATGCCAAGAATGTCTAATTTTACACCAATAACACGTGACTAATTTATCATTCAAGTTAATATTTGCAAATTAGCTGCAATCAACTAAATGTTTAATAATAATAATTACGCTTCGGTTTTATATGGTCATTTTTGGACACTCAAAGATGCTTCTTAAGCCTAGCGTACATCGGACTGGCAACTGATTATATCCGTCGCCTCTGAGTTGCTGCCCCGCACACATCGACAATCTGACGAAAACGGGCAACTCCCAGTATCAGACCAGTCTGGGGAATAACAGCGCGTACATCGACAGCAACTGGCCTCAACTACAGTGTGTTTCTGACATAAACTGTTGCGGGCTCGCAACACACGCAATACACACATGTTGTCGGAGCGGCGCATGGAGCGCGCACATCGGGTCATATCTCCGAAACTGAGGACAACTAGTTGCCGAAAAGTAGAACACGGGCAACTGACTGAAACTGGAGACCGACTGATCATCTCCAGTTGTAAGAGCGCGCACATCGACCGATTTCGGCAACTGATCATCTCCCACCATCTCCTCTCAGTCGCCAAAAGCCGCCTTGCAACTAGTTGTCCCCAGTTTCTCTGTCGATGTACGCTAGGCTTTACTTCCTTACCGACGGCAGAGACCAGAGAGAGACCAGAGAGAGACCAGCGAGACCAGAGAGAGACCAGAGAGAGACCAGAGAGAGACCAGAGAGAGACCAGCGAGACCAGAGAGAGACCCGAGAGAGACCAGAGAGAGACCAGAGAGAGACCAGAGCGAAACCAGAGAGAGACCAGAGAGAGACCAGAGAGAGACCCGAGAGAGACCAGCGAGACCAGAGAGAGACCAGAGAGAGACCAGCGAGACCAGAGAGAGACCAGAGAGAGACCCGAGAGAGACCAACTAAATGTTTAATAATAATAATTACGCTTCGGTTTTAATTGGTCATTTTTGGACACTCAGAGATGCTTCTTACTTCCTTACCGATGACCCTCCCTCGGACATAGGCCGCCGACATGTCCGAGTGTCTCCAGTTTTTTAAAGACGTTTGCTCTCTTTGGAGTTTCTGAAGCTGCTGGGTTTTTTTACAGAGTGGGGTAAACTAGCCCTGCGCCCAACCCTCCTCCTTTTTTCATCCGGGCTAAGGACCCTCCTCGGCACAGATGCTTCACATGCCATTATTCATTTACTCTATACATTACTAATGTAGCCACAGCTGCCCTGGGGCACACTGACAGCAGCGAGGCAACCAGTCTGTGCCATCGGCCCCTCCCACCACCACCAACCATTCACACACACACCAGACTCATTGTAATGTGGGGGAAGTGTCTTGCCAAAGGACACAACCACGGAGACCAGAGAGAGACCAGAGAGAGACCACAGAGAGACCAGAGAGAGACCCGAGAGAGACCAGAGAGAGACCAGAGAGAGACCAGAGCGAGACCAGAGAGAGACCAGAGAGAGACCCGAGAGAGACCAGAGAGAGACCCGAGAGAGACCAGAGAGAGACCAGAGAGAGACCAGAGAGAGACCAGAGAGAGACCAGAGAGAGACCAGAGAGAGACCAGCGAGACCAGAGAGAGACCCGAGAGAGACCAGAGAGAGACCAGAGAGAGACCAGAGAGAGACCAGAGCGAGACCAGAGAGAGACCAGAGAGAGACCAGAGAGCGAGACCAGAGAGAGACCAGAGAGAGACCAGAGAGAGACCCGAGAGAGACCAGAGAGAGACCCGAGAGAGACCAGAGAGAGACCAGAGAGAGACCAGAGAGAGACCAGAGAGAGACCAGAGAGAGACCAGAGAGAGACCAGAGAGAGACCAGAGAGAGACCAGCGAGACCAGAGAGAGACCAGAGAGAGACCAGAGAGAGACCAGAGAGAGACCAGAGAGAGACCCGAGAGAGACCAGAGAGAGACCAGAGAGAGACCAGAGAGAGACCAGAGAGAGACCAGAGAGAGACCAGAGAGAGACCAGAGAGAGACCAGAGAGAGACCAGCGAGACCAGAGAGAGACCCGAGAGAGACCAGAGAGAGACCAGAGCGAGACCAGAGAGAGACCAGAGAGAGACCAGAGAGAGACCAGCGAGACCAGAGAGAGACCAGAGAGAGACCAGAGAGAGACCCGAGAGAGACCAGAGAGAGACCAGAGCGAGACCAGAGAGAGACCAGAGAGAGACCAGAGCGAGACCAGAGAGAGACCAGAGAGAGACCAGAGAGAGACCCGAGAGAGACCAGAGAGAGACCCGAGAGAGACCAGAGAGAGACCAGAGAGAGACCAGAGAGAGACCAGAGAGAGACCAGAGAGAGACCAGAGAGAGACCAGAGAGAGACCACAGAGAGACCAGAGAGAGACCAGCGAGACCAGAGAGAGACCAGAGAGAGACCAGAGAGAGACCAGAGCGAGACCAGGGCGAGACCAGAGAGAGACCAGGGAGAGACCAGAGAGAGACCAGGGCGAGACCAGAGAGAGACCAGAGAGAGACCAGAGAGAGACCAGAGAGAGACTAGAGAGAGACCAGAGAGAGACCAGAGAGAGACCGGAGAGAGACCAGAGAGAGCGCAGACCGAGACCAGGGCGAGAACCAGAGAGAGACCAGAGAGAGACCAGAGAGAGAGACCAGAGAGAGACCAGAGAGAGACCAGAGAGAGACCAGAGAGAGAGACCAGAGAGAGAGACCAGAGAGAGAGACCAGAGAGAGACCAGAGAGAGACCAGAGAGACCAGAGAGAGAGACCAGAGAGAGACCAGAGAGAGGCCAGAGAGAGACCAGAGAGAGAGACCAGAAAGAGAGACCAGAGAGAGACCAGAGAGAGACCAGAGAGAGACCAGAGAGACCAGAGAGAGAGACCAGAGAGAGAGACCAGAGAGAGGTAATAATAATAATAATAATAATAATGTGACATCATTTGAGGACGTTTTGTGTGTTCTCAAAGGTCAGATTGTGATGCACTAATATTATCTATCACTGAGGAATGTACCAGCAACTACACTCAGACTGAGGATCACAGGGACTGGACTCCTGCTGGGACTCTGAGGAGCACAGGGACTGGCCTCCTGCTGGGACTCTGAGGAGCACAGGGATTAAGTACATGTTCAGATACAGAACAGGTGTGTCTACAATAATAATAACAATAATAATAATAATAATATGTTTTATTAAAATGGCACCTGACATTTGCACAAATCCACTGTATATAAAACAAAATTATGACACTTTCCGAAATGAAATCAAACCAAACTTCTGAATGCGTTTGTTTTACTAAAAATTATGCGAAAATATTCTTGACTTGGTTGTGCTCAGAAAATT